AACTATTTATGAAACAAAATAAGAAGGTATGAATATTCTGATCTTTTAAACAAATTATAATGCATGAGTAAGTATAATACCATTTCTAACTTTATATTTAACAACACTACACCTGTCCTATTGCCCGTGGTAATATGGCTAGTATTCCAAAGGTCGTAGGTTCGATTCCCACCGTGGTCAGGCATATTTTTCAAGCTTGCCCGGTGTGGATATACACTCAGAGTAACATCACAAGCATCCAAATAATCGTTGAAAGCCTTTCAACTGACTGTGCAACAAACCTATAAGCAATAATTTTGCAACCATGAAAAGATTGAGAGGTTATTGAATATTGAAGCAAATTGCATGAACTTTAGGCCAAAAAGGTTTTAAGAACTGAAATTTCCACTGAGAATATGTTGTCAAAATAAATTCACATGTGAACTGTCAAATAATGACTGCTAGAACATGTACTCGTCACTGCTAAAATGATTAACAGATGACTCGTATACCTGTTTCATTGACTTGGGCTTGTCGATTTTCTGCGAGGACTGCCGCTGACTGACCGTCGCTTAGGACTGTTGGATCGCTGCTTGGGGCTGGGGGAGCGTCTCTTAGGGCTGGTGGAACGTCTCTTAGGGCTGGGGGAGTGTTTCTTAGGGCTGTTTGATTGTCCACGTGGGCTACCAGATGATCGTCGTCGAGGACTGGTAGACGATCGCCGGCGTGGGCTATTTGATCGGCGCTGAGGACTGTTGGAGGATTTTCGTTTTGGACTTTTGGATTTTCTACGAGGGCTCCTGGATCGTCTTCGAGGGCTTTTGGATCGTCTTCGGGGACTGGGTGATTGTCTGCGTCTACGGTCATCGTATCTGGTCGATCGTTTAGGCAATGCTCTGTGGACATTGATTTCTCTTCCAGCAAATTGCTACAAGTAAGAATAGTTGAATGTCATGGCAACAAAATCATGTTTAGTGTTTATAAAAAGATATCTATAATTGGCACAGTTAGTGCATGTATTTTGTCTCAGTCATTCTTGACAAGAGTGCTTGGGGATAGCACTAGGGAGAACAGTTTAAAACTGATAGAGCCATCAAGTATAAATAAAGTAGTTTAGTTTAGGTACACTTTTGCCACCTACAGTGTTATTAGCTGCATGAATAGCATCTTTTGCATCATCAATATCCCGAAATGTTACAAAACAATACCCTCTCGGACGACGAGTGTATCTGTCTGTGGCAATGAACACTAAAAATAGCAAAAATAAAAGACAATTGTTAGATGTATAATTTTGCGGAGGATGGCTGCAGCAGCTCCCAGCTGTGTCACTGGGTGTGAGAATAATATTTTGTGGAAAAAACTTTTAGTGATTCCAGGTTGATACTAAACTACCATTATGCTAACAGACTTCTGAACAATCGCCCACTACTTCTGGACTAACACAATTTAGTATTTTTGCACAAGTGAATATAACAAATCCTGCAAGTTGATTGGTCAAATTTGACGTATTAAGCTGTTATATTCACAATTTGCAAAATGGCAGCTAGCCGTTTTGTGGAAGTTACTGATAAAGAAATAAGCAAATTTAAAATAAATTCAGTCCTAAAAACACAAAAGACTTGTGTAAAAATACTAGAACAATTATTTGCCTCAGGCTCGGTGATTATCTGGGAATATTCACCTTGGCGAATATTCCCCAATAATCACCTTGCCTTCGGCAAATAATTGTTAATTATTCACCCATTAAGTTGTATTGCACACTAATGCCACAGAATACTACACAGAAGTCCATCTCCATTGTTTTTTGCGTAAGCGTTATTCGTCATGATTCGTCACTCGGCAAGTACCGTAAACAGAAGCAGTCACCCCCCTGGACGTTTGCCATATTTAGTATTTCCAGGGGGTGACTGCTTCTGTTTACGGTACTTGCTGAGTGATGAATCATGACGAATAGCGCTTACGCTAAAAACAATGGAGATGGCCTTCTGTGTAGTATTCTGTGCTAATGCTTACTTCACTGGTGTACTCTGTCTAACACCAAATGATTTTACTCGCCAACAGAATCCACCCCTCAATGAATTAAGATAGTATTGTTCGCATCTCAAGCTGGAGATACATTGACACATGCAGAAGACTGTAGTGAGTCTTTTGCAATTCATGGGAAACCAAACGTTTTATTTCCCAAGAATGAAAATGTTATTGCAAATATCTTTAATCCAGAGTGTAAATTGTTTTTTTGAGTTCTATTTGGTAAGATTCTTTAGCAACTTTCTGACATAAACATTGAACTAAAAATATCAGTATTTTTTTCCACAAATTGCTAGTTTCAGCAAGAGTGGCATGCTAGCCAACGTTGCGGACATTTTGACCTGTGGACAAAATGGACTGTTAAGCCCAAGTTGACACGAAATGTAACTATATTCGACTTGTTTGCCACAAAATACAAGACTACTACATAAAATGAAAAGAATTACCATCATTTTCTTACTCTTAACACTTGCTTAGTGCATAGATGTTCTCTGGAAAGGCGCGACAAAGCAATTTGCCAATTTCGTCGACAATCACTCACCCTCATCGACGTCTCCATATTTTTCAAAATGCTGCCTTACTTCCCGTTCTGTTACATCGTAGGCCAAGTTCCCCACGTATATTTTGAAATCTTCCCGGTCACTCATCTTAAAATACACAATATCTGGTAAAAAAAACTCCTTTTGCTGTCGTTTTCACAGAAAGACTGAAATTTTAGCCCGAAACGACAAAACACGAGGTGCTCAGGGATATTTAGAGTTTTAATGTATACAAGAGGATATGTTGGGTTGTTTCAAGATATATTTATGGTCACTAACATATAGAAGGGGATGTATTGGGTTACCTTACAGGATATGTATAGTTTATCATGTATGTAAGGGGCTATATTGGGTTGTTTCAGGGGATATTCACTGTTTTTATTATATAGAAAGGGATATACGGGTTTTTTAATGTATAAAAAGGGATATATTGCCTTGTTTTATGGAATATTTAGGTTAATTTAATATATAGAAGTGGATATTTTGGGTTGTTTCAAAGGATAGTTTGGTTTAAGAGATGCTCATGGTTTTTGATACGATGTGTAGTCGGTGTAGATTATGGATATTTTACATTGGTACATATTAACACCCCAATTACCACGAGGTATATGGGGCACCGTATTTTGAACAAAATTTATACTGGGTTCTGATTGGTTGAGTGAAGAAGCACAAATCTCAAACTCATTAATAATTCACGAGTAAATTAGCCAATCATATCATTTTGCTCACATGATAATACTGGATACCTGCTGAAGTATACCAGGTGATCTCGTGTTCGTATTTTAGCCAATCAGCGCTCAGAAAGGGTTGTCCGAATAGAAATCCATTTTGATGTATTCAGTCAATTATATCTTTCGTTATTCTTTATGAAACTAGTTGAAATTTTGTAATTATGTTTGGTTATGAGAACTATAGCTCTGACAAAAATATGGAATCGAAATAAAGTATATTACAGGAGATATTCAGTTGTTTTAATCATAAAATGGATTTCTATTTGACAACTAGTGCCAGTACTTTTCCGCGTATCAAGATCATCTGGTATTGATCCCAGGACTGACCAAAATTAATTCAATCTTTGGACTGGATCAAAGTTAATTCACCTCACTTTATGTAGTGATTTATATTCGCACGAGACGTCATTTCAAATCCTCAAACTCAGACTGGACAAGATTTCAAGGGTTGTTTACCATTTACATGGAAATTCCGGCGATTCCATACGGAAAGTAAATGGAACAAGCATATTTCGACCGCCCAACCGGAACTTTTCCGGAATAAACGGTTTGTTTGAAAAGGTTGTCCTCTCTTACCGATTGGAAAGTTTCAACCGGTAAATGTTGTTCCATTTACATTTTTAAAATTTTTTCACCAGTTCCAGGCTCTTCGCGATTTAACAATTGAAATTATTAAATGGAAAGCGAATAATCCAAATGGGATTTTCTATCCGAAATTTTGCTTCCCATTAGCACAATTTCAAACCGGATGGGTTTTACATGTAAATGGTAAACAACCAAGTCCTCGCATTTTGATCCAGTCCTCGGGCTTATAAAGTTAGTTTAGTTAAGGTTTCCTCGTGTAGTAACACTGGATCAATACGAGATGATCTTTACTCAACTCTAGTCCAGTCCTCATAGTCGGATTTGAAATATTACATCCTTTATCAATTAATGGCACTGAGAACAGATATTCATATTAAAACAAGACAGCAAAATTTAAGGCCTGTTTTATTCGTCGAATTTTGGTCACGTCGAATGCAATTAAGACAATAGATAATGAGATGATAAACCTCATTAAGCTTCATTATCTATTGTTTGAATTGCATTCGACGTATATAAAACAGGCCTAAAGGCTAGTTTCCACTCAGGAAAATTATCCGTGGATTGGAACGGACAAGAAAATTCTTCTTTGTTTTGAAGTCATTAGTTCCAACCTAGAGCTCACAAGACAAAGAAAAATTTTCTTATCCGTTCCAATCCACGGATAATTTTCCCGAGTGGAAACTAGCCTTCCAGAAGCCCTGGATCTGAGGGTTTTACTCTCAAGTATTAAGTCACTCAAACTCAAAAACATTTCTGGCAAAACACAAACGAGTTATATCATGTGGAAGGATCGCCATTCTTCATCATTCATCCACTTTATCAGTTGCGGATTATATATATTCTATGTTCATTCGAAACTTTCAGGTTTTATGACGATCATTTGAAATAATCTACCCTGACAGTCAATCAGTTTAACTCCTGATGTTCAAGAAGCTAGGTAAAACTATCAAATGGGTTCCCCTACAAGTTCCCCCTTTCCTTGATAGCCCTTACGGACGAATTTTTAAGAGGTCAGGTCACGTGGTCTTCACATTTCACGTGAAAATAGATGTTTTCGAATACCGCCGTGTTTTACACTACAACTTGCTCACGCAAGGCAAATCTAAGGTTTTTAGTCTTAGATGTATGTTTCAATATGTTTCAATGTTTTCCAAACAACACCAACTACTAAAACATGCAGAATATGAATAATAACACGCAGCATATATATGAATACGACACGCAAATATTAGATCATCGCGCGCAAAATACCACGCGATATATAATAATCAAAGCACAACCAGAGAGGCACAACAGTAAATCAGTTGAGGACAGAACAAGTTTAAACTGGTTTCAAGAAGTATGTTGGACATAAATTACTATTAGGTGAATTTCCAAAACATATTTCAAACCTTACAATATATTAAGAAAGAGATTTCTGATTTAAAACATTTGCTTTTTTCAAGCATACATTTTATGAAAGAGTTCGCAAGATTTCAATCCCCAAACCAATCAAACGTTAAACAAATCAAATTTTGGCATTAACTAAATCATTTTCTAGCAAAGACTGCGATTGAGAAAACAAGTTGGTACGGTTTAATAGTAAACTGGTTTTGTTGCATAGTAAACAAGTTCAAACAGGTTTCAAACTGGTTTTGTGGACAATGAGGTACTGTTGGCTTAAACCGGAGTAGGAGCATAAAATACAACTAAAAAAACACATTTTAATCGGACAAATACGCACAGAAACGAATTAGGTTAAAATAAAGAATAGTTATAGACATCGTATGTTTCTTCCAGACTTTCAGACCACCTAGTTCAAAGCGTTCTCAATCTTGTATAGGACAGGACAGCCAGACGGTTATATAACAAATCCGCATATTCACAAACTTTGATCATGGACATTTGAGCAGGCAATCAGTCTCATCATAGGCCTTTATTGTGTAAGACAAAGAATAAACACAGTCAAATGCAGTCAGAAAAATAAAAACAACAATAAGAACAGAACAACGTTAATCACCAGGCTGTAGATATTTGATAAAATCTTCATTAATACTATTGTTTGTGGAAACACCATGTAAATTTATTATTGCATGTGGTGCAGACCTATATGATACACAGGGACGCCGGAACGATAATGGGGCAAAGGGGGGCGGACGCACACCAAGGGCACCTTTACTGAAACATTTTTTTTCACTGCAAAATTTTTTGGCGACCTCCCCCCCCCCGTCGCCAAAAAAATTTCGGTCAGTGTACCATTTTAGGGGTCAAAAATTTTTTCCGGACATACAAAAATTTTCCGTGAAGCCAAAAATTTTTCCGGATATCTTAAATTTTCGCCATTTCTTCAAAATATTTTTCTAAATTCCAAAAATTTCCCAAAATTTTTATAAATATAAACTATAAATTACCTGAATCTAGTGATTTTCCTACAAAAAGCATCGTTGGAAATGTGATTTATCACGTATTATTTTACAACTAAAAGGGCACTTCTGCCCCCCCTAGCAAAAGGCAAGGGGGGCAGCCGCCCCCCCTGCCCCCCAGTTCCGGCGTCCCTGATGATACATAAGATATGAACTTACCTATTGATAGCCACCATACTGACCACTGTTATACTGGCCACCACCACCACTGTACTGACCACCACCATAATTACTATATCCACCATCACCTGTACCATAACCACCAGCACTATAACCACCAGCACTATAATTACTGTAACCACCACCACCTCCGCCATAACCACCACCACCTCCACTGTAACCACCACCACCTCCACCATAGCGACCACTGTTTCCACCATAGCTTCCACCACCACCACCGTATCTACCACCGCCCCTACCCCGTCCACCACCACCACGACCTCTACCACCCCCACGACCCCCGCCATAACCTCTACCACCACCACCACCCCCTCCGCCGCCACCACCACCACTTCGTGGATTGGCATCATTCACATTAACATTACGGCCACAAAATTCCTAAAAAAGAAAAGCATTCTTTCACATTTCTTGGAAGCATGACAAGCTATTTATTCAAGATATATTTGTAATTCCAATACACCCTTCCAGGGGGAGATTATTGGAAAGCTGATTAGGCCTAAAAAAAACCTGTGGTTCCGGTTTCATATTGTGATATTTTTTTCATGGCTTTGGCATTTTTTTGCTGGGCGATTTGCAGTAGAGTCCCGACATCAATATTAACTAGATTACTAGAGATGCGTATTTCCTATGGACGAATTTAGGCAATTTGGTTCAATAGTTAGTATGACAACAGATGCCATTTTGGCACACTGTATGAGCAGCCCGCAACCACCTGGAGAAAATAGGGTTGCACGGTCAATTGTGTTGAAAAAATAATAGGGTCGGTCGGGAACCGGAACCACAGGTATTTGGTGTGACTAAGGTGTAAAAAAATTACCTGTGGTTCCGGCTCCCGACCGACCCTATTTTTTTTCTGCCGACCCTATTATTTTTTCAACACGATTGACTGTGGATCCTATTTTCTCCGGGTGGTTGCGGGCTGCTGCCAAAATGGCGTCTGTTGTCACACTAATTATTGAAAAAAACGTGAAAAAAATATTTTTAAAAAATTATTTCCGACCTACCGACCCTAATTTTTTCGTGATATGAAACCGGAACCACGGCTATTTTTTTTACGCCTAATGCAAGTGTTTGCTGCATGAGTCATCGTCAACGCTTCTTGTGAATATAATATCATTTTTTTATACCACAAATATATAACTTTTTATACCACATACAATTTTTTCCAATATTTTTCCAATATCACAACAGCCTACAACTAACCCAGGGCATAAAAAAAATACCTGTGGTTCCGGTTCCCAACCGACTAGGCTTGGGCGGTGTTGCTTAAAATTAAAACCGAAAAACCGTCTGCTTCTAAACCGGTAAAACCGGAAAACCGTTTTTTTCCCTTTAATTTTTACTTCAACTGAATGAGCAAGAATTGTGGTATTTTTTTTACATAAGCAAACGAACAGTACACAACAAAACGCAAAATTGTGCAAAGGTAATCTAAAGTGACTTCAGTTTGAAAATAAAAGGGTCAAGAACGCATTTGAAAACTTATACCTCTTTAGTTCTTACCGACTTTACGGAAAAAGAATAGACTTTGTATCTAGTGTCATGTAATTGAGTTTAATTAGTGTCATGTTTTGAGAATTAAGATCGAGTTTCGGGCGATGACAGTAAACAATTACGTAATGACGGTTTTCCGGTTTTTGTAAAAGCTAAACCGAAAAAAAAAACGGTTTGAAAATAAAACCGAAAAACAGCCCAAGCCTACGACCGACCCTATTTTATTCTGCCGACCCTATGATTTTTTCAACGCGATTGACCGTGCGACCCTATTTTCTCCAGGTGGTTGCGGGCTGCTCATACAGCGTGCCAAAATGGCAACTGTTGTCTTACTAATTATCGAACCAAATTGCCTAAATTCATCCATAGGAAATACACATCTCTAGTGAAAAAATATTCCAAAAAAAATTTTATTTCCGACCTACCGACCCTAATTTTTTCACGATATGAAACCGGAACCACAGGTTTTTTTTACGCCCAGTGGGATATTAAAAAAATTGAATCAACTGCGCCATGGTGAATCAAACCTACCGCATTGTTCAGTTTATCTTTTGCATCTTTTGCGTCTTCGGCTTTTTGGAATGTAACAAACCCGTAGCCTCGTGAATCACCAGTTTCTCGGTCTTTTACAATCACCACTGAAAACAAGGAAAATAACCATGTTTAGGGCTCGTAGCAAGGGCAGATTTTCATTTACTTAAAAGGAGGGGTAGAAAAGGTGGTGGGGTGCAAGCGGCATCACTCGGTGAGCTTTTGGGTTAAAGCCTTTCACACAAAATAGGAGGGGTGAAGCAATATTTTGGTGGGGTTGAACACTTTATTAGAGGGGTTAGTGAGATTCTAGGGGGGTTTAACCCCCCCCCAGTAAATTGTTAGTATAAGCACCATTTTTACACGGTAATTAGTCCCGTCAAATCACATCCTAAAATGGGGGGGGGGGGATCTACATCAGATAATTTTCAGTTTTTGAATTACCTGCACCAAATTTTACAGGCAAGGCAGCATGTCATCAGCGCAAGGCCCCTTGTTACACAAGGAACAAAAAATTCGAAGAGTAAGCGTGGGCCCCCAAAAGCTTGGGGCTCCCAAAAGCGCAGGGCCCGTGACGATATGTCACTTCTGCCTTCATGGACAAATATCTTAAATGCTGCAACAAGCTGAGACTATGAACCAGCATGCATTTCGTGACTTATGAGAAAATTGTTGGAGATTCATTTCTCGCTGTTTCCGAGTGATATACAACAAAACATGAATCTGTCTTTTCAAAAACGTTTGTGTGTCAAAATGTTTAATAAAATTTCTCATGTTTCCACAAATCATATAAAGCCTCCAACCAGACAAAATTAGCTTTAGTTTTTGTCAACTGTGTCAAAACCTCAGCCAAATGTTACTTGACTGGAGTTTCTTGGTTTTCTTCAAGGAGGCTCTTAAAATCATGCACTATGAAATCCATATCAACTTTTAGCGGCAAAACGCAACACATTATAAACCACATTTTATCACATGTTTTCGGTACCAAAACATCTAAATAACTTCAAAACACGATAAGCTGAGTTAAACATTCTTTAAAGAACCAAACTAAACACAAAATAAGTGCAAAATTCAACTTTAAAAAGCGTTCACGAAACCATGCGGTCCGACGCCAATTTTAAACCACCATCAAAATGCGATTTTTTTTTTCATTTACCTTCTTCAATCACGCCGTAATTTTCACAAAATTGTCTTAAATCGTCTTCTGTTGCTTTAAAGGCGACATTGCCGAAGAAAAGTTTATTGCAGGCTTCGCTCATGTTGGTTTTTTTCGTCCAAATCGTTGGTCTGAGTCTGAATGTCTTCCTTGTGAAGTCGGTCGCCGCGAAAAGGAACGAAAAAGCGAAACGACGGAGGTTCACGAACTTGTACGATAGACGACGGTAATCAACGATTGTATCCGATGTTTCCACTTCCATCGAAAACGTTTCTCCAGTGTTTTTTCTTTAGCCCGCAAGGCAGGCTCAACTTTATTTTCACTGTTTTCCTTTATTCTCAAAACTTCCCTTGCCTTTGCTAAAGAGTGTAATATGGTAAACCCAATACGCACCCCCCCCCCCCCGTTGAACTAATTTATTTCAGCAAGATGCAGGGGGGAGTATTAGAAAGGAGTCATCTCTACCAAAACTGGCTAAAAAAAATCCTCTTTCTGGGGGGGCGGGTGTATGGAGGATTAGGAGATGCAATTCGGGAGGGGCTTTAGAGAAGGCAGTACTTTACAATTTCGTTGGTTTGCTTTCTTTCGGAGCTTTTCAACGGGGTTTTTCTCGCATAAAAATAGACTGCCAGAATTCTTAGAAACACGGGAACATTGTAAACTAATTTTGATTGGTTGCGCAATCCATGCAGAATTTTCCGCGAAAATTTCAATCGCGATATTTGATTCAAAAGATACTGTATTTGTTCTCTTTATTTTCTTAGCTTTTATCAAGAACGAAAGCCCGTTTAACCAAGCAAAGAGCGCCAGTTGATCCAGTGTTACTACACAAGGAAACCTAAACTAACTTTATTTATGCTGGATGGCTCTATCAGTTCTAAACTGTTCTGCCTAGAGGTCCACTGGTCCAGTAAGGATCATCTCGTATTGATCCAGTGTTACTACACGAGGAAACCTTAACTAAACTTATTTCTAAACTGTTCTTCCTAGAGGTCCAGTAAGGGTCATCTCTTGTTAATCCAGTGTTACTACACGAAACCGGAACTAACTTTATTTACACTCAGGATAGCCTTTAATTCCTAAACTGTTCTTCTTCGAGATCCATAGTACCATTACCAAATCGTTGTGCATTCGTGGTGGTTCGGTCCTAGACCCTAGACACTTCTATTTATATTTCAGCGCTTTTTCACGTGCGAAGACTGGAACCTAGGCAATCCTCGTGACGTCATTGAAGGCGATTAGCCCACAAATCAAGTGCCGCCTGCAAGTGAAGGCCCTAGGTCTAGGGCCATTTTTCGCGTTTCGTACTTTGAACGCAAGACTGGCGTCAAGGACAAGGTAGAACACATTGTAGTCGAGCACAACAGTAGATCACTTGACGAGGACAGAACAAGTTTTAACAGGTTTTTTCCAATTCAACAGATTACAGTTTTATCCTTAATTCGGCAACTTCACATATCAAATCACAACGGGAGTTCATGTTGACATGTTAGTCGATTGACATGCTAATTAGTCATTCAATATAAGTAAATTAACTTTTCTTAATTAATTTCAATAGCTTGTAGAAAATATTACGAAACAGGTTCAAGAAGCTTTCACACTGGTTAATACGTAGTTTTGAGAACCACTCGATACAGGATTCAAACAGGTTTTGTGGTTTAGCAAACAAATTCATACAAGATTGAAACTGGTTTTGTCGAACAGGTTTCAAACTGGTTTTCTGGACTCTGACATGAGGTACTGTTGGCTGTAGTGAATCACAGAAGACAGTAAATAATTTTTAGTAAGTAAGTAAATAATTTTTAATCGGATAACATTGACATTACGTAATGAGCTAAAAATAAAGTTGACATCATTGCTCTGGTCTTCTCTCGATTGACAAGATCACCTAAACAGTTCAACTGGCCAATGACTCTTTGATGAACGGCCAGTGTCATAATTGATACATAACAAGTGTTGAGAGTTTCATAGAATGCAATTTGATCACATATATTTCAAGGAATCAGTCATCGCGAGCCTTTATTGTACGAGAACAGAATAAACATTGTCATGGCGATGAACATTAAAATGTAACATTATATCAAGATCAAGTAACACAACACAAAAAGTATCGATGGTACCACCATACGAGGGTTACAAAAACAAATATCATCAACAGACACAAGACTGTCGAAACGTTGGGTTGTGAATGCAATTTATATTACTGAGGATAATTTTACGGTTACAACTTTGCTGATATTGTAGTTGAGTTTTTGCACATGCATTCGATAGATTCTTGTTGTGTAAATGAAGTGTTTGTTGATCTTCAGTTCAGAGGTCTTGCAGCTTACACTAGCCTGCGAGCAGGCTCTGAGACATAAAGGAATGGTGGATCTTCAGACAGAATAGTAAATTTCGATCCCTGCCAAATTGGGAAATTGCTAGCTTACTACAAATACCATCACGTGTAATATTGACTTACCTATTAGTAGCTATTTTAATATCTGTAACCACCACCACCACCACCGCCTCGACCACCACCAAAACCACCACCAAAACCACGGCCGCCACCACCACGACCACCATCACCACGTGGCCTTGATTCACTCACTTTGATTGTGCGTCCTTCCAGATCCTGAAAAGATGATACAAAGGTTATTTATTTATTAACACTTTGTCTTAAATTAGCAACTAGAAACCGCAACAGCATAGGCCAACTAGCCATTCCAAAATTGATGAGAGGACTGGGGACGAGTGTTAAAAAGTGCCAAAATATGAAGACCATGTAAACCTTTGTGCTGTTAGTCAACTCTTAGCTATTTTACAAGAGCAGTTCACATTACTCAACAATCTTCCTTTGCCTTCTGACAACTCTTCCCCTATTGAAAACCTTGTTTTCAATAACTACAGAATACTTAACATTACAAAATCTAACAACTACAACAGTCTTGCTTTTCTCGAAGCACTGCTTATCAAACACAACACTAGTAAAGAACTACAACTGTTCACATAACACTTCAACATAATTTTCCTCTAATTGTCAGGTCCTTCCTTCCTACCTTAATTAATCCTTATTATATAAAACGTTGTTGTAAATATAGCTAAACAATCCTTTTTCAATTTTTTACTAATTTCTTTATCATATATCATATATCATATATCATATATCATATATATATATGATATATATATATATATATGATATATGATATATATATATATATATATATATATATATATATATATATATATATATATATATATATATATATATATATATATATATATATATATATATGTATATCTATATATATATATA